CCGCATTTGGGCGTTTCAGGCGCTTATTAAGCGCCGTTTAAGCGCTCAAACGCGGATTTCTTGGTTTGGGCGCTTAATTGCATTGATTAAACGCGACAGACTGGCTTAAATATAGTCAATAGAGCTGAAACCTATCATGTAAGTATATGGGCACTATGAGTGATTGTGACTGCATTATAGCATTTTTGTTGCGCTCCAACGCCTCAAATAAGCGCCCTAATCAGGAAATCCGCGTTTGAGCGCTTAAACGGCGCTTAATAAGCGCCTGAAACGCCCAAATGCGGAAGAAACTGCACAGTTTCTATCTGAGCTTGAATTTCCATTAGGCTGTGGCACAGCCACTAAACACAACTTGAACCTGAACCACCACCATCTGCTGTCACCTCACAAGTGCTCTTCTGCTCAAACTCTACAATGGCTCTTCTCACAGCTCAGACCCATACCTCTTACATCAATGCCACTATGGACACTGTGGTGGACATTGTGTCTGCAGCTCTTCCTCACTGTATCGACCCCAAAATGCAAGACATCACTGCAATCATGGCTGCTATGGGCCGTGGCCCATTCCGTGCCTCTATCCAGTCTTTCAAACCTCACAGCTACGAGCGCCCCCTTGATGCAGCACATGCTGAAGCTCTCCTCGTAGCTCTGACCACCATAGACAAGCGTATGACAACTCCGGCCTACATCTTCGTTCCTGATCATATCTGGCTTTCTCTTCCATCTCATTTCGACTCTATACCAAATAAGCCTAGCGATTGCCCCCTCTGGACCCCTCCCACGGACACTCCTCCCTTCACACCCTTCTATCTAACACACGGTCATCGTTTCCATGCGCTTCAGCTTCCGTTCAAAGACGACGCCTCTGACAATGCCATCCAATACCTCTCAGTCGTCAAAGACATGTACGGCTCTGATCTTCAATGGGTTGTAAACTTCCTTCCGCAGCGTCAGTTTTCTTTTTTGTATAATCTATACATAACTCAAACAAATTTTCAGGCCTTCTCACCATCATTCCTTCCAGCATCTGGAAAGCCTATGTCGTCATCGTCAACCAAGGCGACACCTGGCTCAAGGTGCCAGAAGATGAGCTAGGTATTGCTGGTTGGATCCTATATGGGTATCAGCTCTACTGCCACTTCCTTCGCCCTACACCTACCGCTCCATACCGGCACAATGAACGTAACACCCCTGCCCTCATAGACGGTTGGAAAGTGGCGCGCTTAAACTCGTTCAAGACCAAGACCACTGATCTGAGCGGTGACTGGGTCTTCGCGCACCCCAAGATCCTACAGGCTATGGCATCAGCCTTTGCAACAGCTCCAGGCAAGGACTTCTTCGTCAAAACATCCTTAAAACAGATTGCAAAGTCTCACTGCTGGGTACATGTTTATTTGCATCACATGATATATATGTTGCTCATAACTTGAATAGCCAGCTTCTGCCTACCTTGAACTAGCTGCGTACCAGCTGAGAGGTTTTGTAGATGCACCCTGGCGTAGTTGGAACTCATATCTCGACACGGACAATAGCGAGGCTGTGATTTCTCTCAAGACCCTCACGGTCAACAGCTTTCTAGCCATGGAAGTTGCTGAGTGGCCGTTCTTCTGGATGGATCATACTCTACCCCTGGAGGAACGGATCGAGGCCACCAACAAGATTATTGCTTCCCTGCATTCACTTGACTCCGATGCTCCGGATGAGATACGGTGGCTTTTCGAGGCGTCCCAGAATTCCTTCAAAGTGATGGAACTGTATGATAACAAGGACAAGAACAAGGACCAGGACACTCCGGTATGTATTGGCGTATATTGGTTCTTCTTATCTATAACATCCACATAGATACTGTGGATGGAGTTCTTCAAAAACATCTCACTTCGCGATGGCTTCCTTCATATTGCTCAAGTTGTCTATCTGGTACGTTAATGTTCTATTTCACTATTAATGAGACCTCATGTATTAAACTTTTTGCAGCTCATCTGGATTCTTATGGGGCCAAAGTACTGCGCGACTATGACAACTTCCTCTGGTGTGAAGAAGACTCCTGGTCAACTGCGTTGGTCCAAATGCCCAGATGCTATCATTCTTCGGTACCTTGAGTTTGCACGGCGCACCAAGACTGCTCAGCAAGAACATCAGCATGCCTATACGGACTACACAACACCTGATACGCATACAGTCGACTTGATCTATGCAGAGGCGTGCAAAGAACACTTGGAGAAGCTGTATCAGGTACGTGTTCGATATATGTATTATACTGTGTCACTCTAATATATATTACACTGTCAGTCTGCGGCCTTTCTGCTCAAGAATGGTACCAAAATGGCAGCACAACTCAGAGAGGATCTAGGCGATTGGCTATCTGAGGATCCGGCTAAGTTTCCTGCATTTCACGGCCATCCCACTCCTGCTCATCATACCAACATTATATACAACGATCCACCTGAAGGTCTTGAACATAGAAGTGTTGCAGCCTTCAGTCGAGCGGTGGACTTGGCTACAAGAACCTCGCTTTGGCAGACACTTCTTTATGAAGTTCTACAGGTGGACTTGCTCTTCATCGATGGCACAACGTTCACTCTGAATCCGGACAACTATATTCAACGTCAACAGAGTCAGCCACAAGTGACTCAGCTTCAGCCAGCTTCTTCTCGTGCTTCACCATTCTCCTCATCATCACGGGAACAAACTCCTCCTTTGCCATCGCCTTCTCCAGCACCTTCTCATTCACGGCAGTCGTCTCCCTTCTCTCAGCTTACTCCATCACCTGCTCCATCTTCCACTACATCTTCTGCTCCATCTCAGCTATCCGACCAGCAATCTCTACGGCAATCTCCACCTCATAATGACTCTGCACCACCTGCACAACCTTCAGTGTTACGTGAAGCTTCACGATCTTCAACACCTCAATCTCAGGTACTTCAACTATATTTTATTTGGCATATTTTCTATAACATAATCTTCTACCATCATAGCCTCAAGTGACCGACATTCCACACCCTATCACTCCTCAAGATGATGAAGTCCATACTCCTCCTTCAGTCTCAGTGCCAGCAACTCCACCACAGTCTACTGTAGCTGGTCCTCAGAAGCGCCCACAGAGTCCTACCTCTACGTCTTCACCATCTCGACCTCAGATCTCACCTCCTCGCAAGCGTACGCGGAAATACATGTTCTCTCATATTGAAATTCCCACAATTCCACTACGTGCTCAATCACATCGTCAAAAAGTAGTTGAAGATGATGATGTGATTGCTCGCGATCAGGTACAGTTTCTACAGCACATATTTATAACTTCATACTCATATTTTATATATCACTTCAACAGCCTGTAGACATCAGAGCGTGGCAGCAAGGCCTGCAACAGAATCAGATGCTTGATGATCAGGTATAGTTGTTGGTCATCTACTATATCAGCTGGTATTAACTCTATAGCAGGTAGCTGAGTCTAGTGGTGCAGTCAATGATGAACACATCAATGTGGAGATAGAAGACATGGGAATAGAGCTGACATCTGATGAAGTATATCTATATTTTATTGAATATGTGCGATTGTAATCATACTAACTTTATAAACAGGTGGCAAAATCCAATGATGTGGCTGAGGAGCAACCTCAACAGTCGACCATCCAGCTTCCTTCATACTCCGCTCATGAAACCCGTTGGTATGCGCTTTCATACGAGGAGCGACAGAATGTGATCGACACCACCATCAACACGCACTTCTCACCTGAGGTTGCTACTGAACTGCAATCAGCATACTACGATATTGTGCAACTTGCAGTCAAAGTCAAAAACCAATATGGTGAAGGACCTGACGGAGCCTTACAAGTTGTTTCATCTATGCAATCCCTGGTAGGAGCAGGTCTAGATGAACTTGGTGGTAGTCAAAGCAACGGTGACAATGAGGAAGAAGATGGGGCAGTTGCTATGTAGTGTGATGTTAGGTATATTTTGATGCGGGTTGTTGTTTGTTTGATATATGTCTGAGTCAGAACCTGTGTACTTATATTTGGAACTACTGTGTATATTCACTCTTATTTTCTCCTTTACAAATCTCAGTGTAACATAACTATACAATGCATGTCTCAATATAAAGTATCTGTTCTGCACTAACGGGTATAGCGTACGTCATTCTAGTGGACAGTTTCCGCATTTATGTATATATTAGATACGAAATAAGCGCCCTAACCCTTATTTCCGTGTTAGGGCGCTTAAATGTTGATTAATAAGCACTTGAGATACCCAAATCCAGAAGCAACTATACAGTTCTTATCTGAGCTTAAATTTCTGTGATGCTGTGGCACAGCCACTGAACACAACTTGAACCTAAACCACCACCATCTCATTGCTTACCATCGCTTTACTTTTTCTGATATCATCTCTCTTACTCAACATGCCTCAATCTAAACCCTGTGCTAACTGTAACGGCACCTTCACTGTCACAGAATCTGAGCACAATAGAGTGTGCACCAAGTATATGTTTTCTGTTCTCCATGATCTCAAAAATCAACAAGGCCCTGAAATTCCAATTGAAAGAGATGCTAACAATAAAATCATTTGCAAGTGTGTTAGGAATGGAGTCAAGTGTAACAACAGATATGCCACCAAGAACGGATTGGAAAAGCATCTCAAAAAGACCAATCCTGAATATTGGGTGGTAAGCACTATTGCTTCTGTGCTCATGTTTCATCTCTAATCCCATCTCAGGCGCCTGAGGAGTTAAGGAAAACCCCTTCTCCTACTGCAATGGTGGTGGATAATGACCATTATTCCTCTTCACCTGCTCCAGTACGTTGCATTTAATTGGTATGTTATATGCCCTCTAATATTGTCCAACAGATGGCCATGTCCCCTACTGGTTCTCATATGCAAGTTCTTAGCCGGCGATCTAGTGTTAGCTACCTTGATCGAAGCCGCTCTCCCTCAATAGCTGATGCCCAGCCAACCGGTTCAGCATCCACTACTCAGCCAGCACATCTAGATGAAGTGGGTTTTTTTTCCCTCTTTTCACATTCACCATTGTTCTAATCACCACTGCTAGCTCTATGATGTAGAAGATGGTTCTCTGTCTCAGTGGGGCCTACGCATCAACCGTCGCCTTCGCTGCTTCATCTGCATCGACTGCCAGACAGTTGTGTGTACTTCGAAGGCTGCAAAGCATATCGAAGTCACCCATGCTGTCACCAAGA